ACTTCTTTTTCTAGGCTCTTTGGGGATCTAGTTTGCCTTTTCCACACTTTTATTTTATTTCTGTAACCATGTCCATTTATTCATCTTCAACCTCTTCTTCCCAGGCTAAAGTAAATGATCTCATCGACAATCTTTCACCTCTCCCAACTGCTCTGCTATTCGTTGTCCCCCTTTTCTCAGAACATCCTGGTCTCGTAACTGTGGCTGAGGGCGCACATGCTATGATCTCGTCCGACCTGGTCCAAGTGATCAGACCTAATCCATTGTCTTCTTGGTCTGACACTCAACCCGAAACTCAAGCACCGTTGCGAACTACCCCAATCTGGGGACCTTAGAGTTCCTAAGGTAGGGGAAACCTTCTCTCATCCTCCCGAAGGGTTCCATACGTTCTTCTTTGACCAGATCTTGGCTGATCTCACTCTTCCCCTAAAGAATTACCTCGTAGAGCTAGCACGACTATATAGGGTACCTCTGAACGACTTCACTCCTAACTCCATTTAGTTTATGGTCGGGTTCTGTATCTTTAGACGTTGCCTTCTTTAAGACCTCGACCCAAAATTCATATTTTATTGCTTTTAGTTGGAACCACAAAAAGGGTTGTTCTACCTATCTCGTCGTAATAATGTCGAATTCTTGGTTGACCCCATTTCCAATTTAACTAATTGGAAATTTAAACTTCTTCGTTAGACCTCCACCGGATACCTTTAACTTTTCTTCCGAGTGGACTATTGAAGAACCTGGCCAACTTAAATCTCCCAAGCCAAATAAAACCTACAACGACATCATCAATAAGTGGAATAAGTCTCCATAAGACCTCATTCTTATGTCTGACGACCAACAACTACTGTCGTACTATAGTTTGTCCTCAGCTTGATGTAGACCCACCCTGAATATAAGTAGACTTTGACCACAAAGGTCCTTACTACTTCCTATTTTTTATTTAACCTGGTTATACCTTATTATATGTTGTTCTCTTTTTTGCAGACTCACTGCTCAACCTCTGTCGATCGCACTCGATCTCATCGAGCAAGAGGTAGAAACAACTCGACGCCACACTTGAGACAGCCACCGTGGACCAGCAAGTTTCCCCTCCAACTCAACCAGCTTCTTTTACTGAGCCCTCACTTGTGCCCCCTTTTGAGGGCTTCGAGGAAGCTGGCTCGTCCAAGAAGCGTCCTTGGTGTTAGAGTATACTGTAGAAGCTCTGCATTGTGTTACTCACAATTCCGTTTTGAATGAAGTTCGTGTCTTTAGTTAAGTAAGTGTTTGTAGTTTATTTATTTGTGCAAACATAGTTCCTTTATTCTACATTGTAGATAATATGGTTCAATGTGCCGAACAGAAAGATCATAATATTGATGCCTTGTAAAATATAAATATTTTGTTCGCAGCCCAGAGAAAATTATTCAGATCTACCTAGATTGTTCTGGGGAATGGCTCTCGAAACAGCCGTGTATATTATGAACCTTGTTCCATTGAAGTCAGTTGCAACTAATCCTATTGAATTGTGGTCAGGGCGGAAGCCTAATCTATTGCACATTCAAGTATGGGGTAGTCCAGCACATAAGCTACGACAAGACACCGAAATTTGGATAAGTGTACGAAAGTACGACTGTTCATAGGCTACCCTAAGGGAACGAAAGGAGGGTTATTTTATAGTCCCGAGGATCAAAAGGTTATTGTTAGTACGGACGCTAGATTCTTAGATGAAGACTATATTATGAACCATAAGCCTGCAAGTAGACTTGTCTTGAAAGAATTTAGGGGAGAAGGAGCTAGTCCTTTACCGAGTGCGCAAGTAGATACACCACACACTACTGCAACATGCAACACTGATCATGTACCTGTGCAGACAGTACCTCGTCGTAGTGGGAAGGGTTGATAGACAACCCGATCGGTTCATGTTCCTTGGATAGTCTTTGGACTAGACATGATTTGAGTCCACTGACTCTATCTCGGTATTAATTGCATTTTTCCATGATACTGCATCCTTGTCCTGGATTGCCTCATTAAACGTCAAAGGGTCCGATTCTAGTTCACTCGAGACGAAGGGGTACGACCAATTGGGTGTAAGTGAGTCTACAAGAGAAATAAAGGATTGAATGGGAAGGAGGAAACCATCAAAGCTAGGCTTATTTCGAAAGGATATACTTAGAAAGAGGGAATCGATTATGAGGAAACCTTCTCGCCAGTAGCTATGCTCAAATCGATTCGGATTTTCTTGGCTGTAGTTGCTTATATGGATTATGAGATTTGACACATGGATGTCAAGACGACTTTCCTTAACGGAAGTCTCCTGGAAGACATCTATATGCAGTAACCAGAGGGTTTCACTGCAAAGGGTAGTGAGCATCTTGTATGCAAGCTAAATCGGTCCATCTATGGACTGAAACAAGCTTCTAGGTATTGGAACATCCGGTTCGATGAGTGATCCAATCATATGGGTTCACTCAATGTCCGGATGAGCACTGTGTGTACAAAAAACGCAGTGGGAGCGGTGGTGGTGTTTCTTGTGTTGTACGTAGACGATATTCTCCTAATTGGAAACGATATGAAAGAATTGTCAGACGTAAAGGTTTGGCTGTCTAAGTAGTTTGATATGAAGGATACTGTCCTAGCTAGATTCAGCATTCAGAAGTCCAAGAAAGGTATGTTGTCTTTTTTACATGGAGTACCTCTGTCTAAGGAGATGTCACCTACGACACCCGAAGAGATAGAGAACCTGAAGGTCGTTCCTTATGATTCGGTAGTTGGAAGCCTCATGTATGCAATGTTGTGCACACGACCTGATATTAGCTACGCCGTAGACTTAGTAGCTAGATATAAAAGTAATACAGGCCCAAGACATTGGTGTGCGGTGAAATATATATACTCAAGTACATGAGAAGGAATAAGAACTACATGTTAGTTGCTCGATATTAGCTACGTCGTAGACTTAGTAGCTAGATATAAAAGTAATCCAGGCGCAGGACATTGGTCTGCGGTGAAATATATACTCAAGTACCTGAGAAGGAATAAGGACTACATGTTAGTTTATCGTGCAGACAGCTTGCAACCGTTGGGTTACACTGATTCTGACTTTCAGTCAGACTGGGACGAAAGTAAATCTACCTCAGGTTATGTGTTTACACTAGAAGGAGGAGCCATTTCATGGTGGAGTGCCAAACAGAAATGTGTGGCAGACTCCACCATGGAAGCCGTGTTGGAGTATATTGTAGAAGCTCGGCTTTGTGATTACTCTCAATTTCATTTTGAATGAGATGTGTGTGTTTAGTCAAGATCATGTTCATAGTTTATTTATTTATGCGAACATAATTTTTTTATTTTACATTATAGATAATATGGTTCGATGTGTCGATCAGAAATATCATATTATCGGTGCCTTATGAAATATAAGTATTTGTTCACAACCCAGACAGAATTTAACTAATTGTCGTGAAAGGCTGTAGTGTGATTTTGAGTTTGTTGATCTTTGACTAATGATTTACACTGGTACATCTTGTATGTATTGAACAGACCTATAGGAGGATGAGATTATATTATACTGACGAAATAAATAATCTCAGTAATTGTTACGTTCTCTTAAACCATAAGACAATAAACGGTCATATGTATTCGGTACTTATTTATTTGAGTTACTATGGGTGAGACTTATTTTATTAGGTCGACATACCCTGCATTTTGGTAAATAATGTTGAGTGCATGATGTCGCCAAAAGGAGCTAAAAAAAGATTATTATGTGAAGTCCTGCCGGCAAATTAATTTTCGATATACTAATAAAGAATTGAGTTGTACTATTTCTGACATAATAATATTTTGTGATTTAAGATACCTATATTCAACATCTCTAACTAAAAATTAAAGTTTAACATTGTATGTCATCAATTTTTTTATGAAGTCATAGGATGACACTACTTATAGAACCATCTACAGTTATTCACATTTGGTGTATTGACATGTGCTCTACATAATAATACACTTTGACAGGTCCCAATGCATCAACTATGAATAGCTCCATAGAGTTTCTGCGTTTTTCATAGCAAAGTTTTGTAGCTTATTAGCTCCGGGTTAAATTCACTCGCTACCAGGAACTGATGGAATGGCAAGTACAAAGCAATTTGAAACACAGGCGAAATCAAAGGGCATTACGTGTTTCCTATGTTGAAATAAGATCTTGTGGTTTGATTCAACCCTTCCTAAGCTAGCAAGATGTTCCACCCAAGGCTACACAAGACATCGGTCATTGACCAAGACACTGTCAAGAATACGTAGAAAAATTATTTCTGTCTTCAGTTAAAGCATAAAGTTTGAAGTTAGAACTCTGTTTAAAATATTACATTTATAAAATTAGTGAGACGTAAAATGAATTGTGAATAACTTAATTATTTAATTATAAGAATAATAATCATTTTCATGTCAGATGAAAATAAAATTTATTCCATGTCAAATCGCGCCCTTAATAAACCGCCCACAATCAAAAGAAATAATACACATTTATCATCATCTAAAGATGTAGTCAATCACAGGTATCATTTAACACTAAACAGAAAACACGGGACAATAAGATTAGTCTAAACAGAGCTTATGAACAAGGAAATGAGCTACCAGTACAGACTTATAATA